AGTTTTGAGGGGGGGGGGGGCAGGAGTAGGGCAGAGCACTATTTTTTTTTGGGGGGGGGGGGGGAGTAGGGTTGTTTTTGTGTGGGGGCAGGATTAGGGTAGTAAACTTGTTTTGGGTGTGGGGACAGGGGTGGGGTAGGGTACCTCTATATACAACTGTTTTACCACATCGATCTGATGACCACAGGCCACTTAGCCAAAGATCCTCATGGCTATCGCTAAAATAGTTTCAATAATAATTTATTTTAATAAAAGGTGGGGGGGGGAGACTGGACTCTTGTAACTTTCAGAGGGAAGGGCAGACACCGATTAAAGTTTATAATTTCTATATATATATATATATATATTTTCTATTTTGTACGTGAGGGGTGGAAGTGCTCTGGTCGCTAATAAAGTTCAGCTAGTCAGCTTGAACCTAAGACATGCTTCTAGATCCCTAAATGCTTTTTACTGTATAGTAACACTATTCGAATAAAATAACATCCTTATGTTTTGAACAAACGCATCCTGTATCGTCAAGTGTTCCCAACATTGACTGTTCTTGTTTTTAAACTGCTAGTCCTGTGATTAGAATGAAAGGGATGGGACGGTGTGGTGGGGCGACCGTGCACGGTAAAGCCGTTGCCTGGCAACATGTTTTCGTCTCGGCCGTGTCGACCGTGTAAGGGTGGTACGATACAAAATTTAGGCTCGCCTTACACGTCAGATCTATTTTTAGGTGAGTGTGTGTGTGATTTTTAGTATGTGCGAAAACGGTGCAGTATTTTACCATTGAAGATATGTTTTACATTTTGGTACTTTTCGATTTTAACGCAGAATCCTAAGTTTTCTTTTGTACTGGTTTACGAAACATGTTGGGTATGGCTAACCATAAACAGAGTTTCTTTCAGGAATCCCCCCACCCCGACTCGAATGTAATATAAATTATTTAGAAAATATTTTCTTTTACCACATGGAAAATTTAGTCCGCCCCCCCCCTCCCCCTCCCCGAGCGGAGAAAAAAAGTCTGAAAGAAACACTGAGCCATAACCAAAGGGTGCTCACACTATAATACTATGTCATGTAGGGTCTTGTGACTCCATCAACATCCCCCCCCCCCTTCCCTCCTTCTATTTCTACACTGGTAACAGTGTATATTTTCTATAGGGTCATCCCCAACCTATTCCCTACAAGTGTTACAAAAATTTCCAATTAGCATTGAGCAGTAGCACACTACCCAACCAGGGCTCCCCATGTGATATGACAGCTAGAACTCAACAACACATGATCATTTTTTTTCAAGTTACTCTCTAAGTAATACATATACATAACTTTAACACATACATATAACACTGTTAGCCACCCCTGGAACATTTCATGTATATAAAACCTCCATAGATCACCCCTCATGTTATAGTATAGCGCATTTCCAGGCATTGTTTCATTTAGGCATCTTTTCGGGGTGGGGGGGGGGAGGGTATAGTATTCCCCCCACCCCCGAATCACGCTTCCACACCCCCACCCCCACTCCAACGACATTAAATTTATATATACAAAACAGTGTCCCCTTCCCCCCCCCCCCAGAAAATTTTGCCCACCCCCTCCACCCTATTGTTTTTAGTGTCACCCCCCCCCCTCCCCATGTACGTGTCTTAGAGATGAGTAAACACTGGGATGTCCAACGGTATCGAGACTAGTAATCGTACTCGAGTATCCAGTAGTCGGATGCTCGTGTCCCCAGTGCCCTAATATGACAGTATCGTAATCTGCGATACCAACTTGGAATGTTTGGACATGACTAACCCGTGTGGGGAAATCTTTGCTTATTACTGTGTTATTGTTTTTAGGTTTACGAAACGCTAAAATATGATATTGATGGAAATATCTTTAAATATCCTTAAACCACCCCAACACTCCTCCCACTTCCCCCACCCCTCCTTCCCCCACCCCTCCTCACCTCCCCACATTTCTACACCCCATACAATCACGCACATATTTTTTTCACGCACAATCAGCCAGCGATTCATTACCCCTAACTTGTGTGTCGCGCCGCTTAAAATCTCAACAAAGAAATGAACAACTCTCTCCGGTGACAAAAAACCCCAGTGGCGTTACCTCCCCTGACTTATTGATCGCCTCACCGGCCAGGTATGGTAAAGTCGCCTCATTTGGCGCTGGTTTCTTCACACTAACAGACGAGTTCGGGCCGTTGATGTTGAGTTAAATTTGTTGTGTTAATCGTAGGTTGTTATTTCTTCTGGATAATATTGGTATGTAATTATTTTCTAAATTTCTAGTTTGCTTTTTCTTTTCGTTTTTTTTTTTTTTTTAGTTAACAATAATACAGGTTGTGATGTGTTATTTTTTTATTTTTTTTCGATATAGTTTAAGGAAGGGAGGTAATAAAATCTTCCAAAGCCGCCAACCTTTTAATTTTCAGTCTTTTATTTCTGTTACTTATTGTTTTGTTAACGTATAGTTTTCTCCTTAAGTGTTGTTTTTGGGAATTTAAAATGCTCTTCTTGTTATAAAATGAGGGAGGGAAGGGGGGGGGGGGGTTAAAAGTGTAAAATGTGTCTTTTTTTATCAGGGTGCATAATGAAAATACAGAGGTAGAATTGATAGTCTATCTATTGCGTTATTAATGTCATTCTCTTGTACTTTGCTTTACTACTGTGCATGTTGTATACATAGCCTGAAATATATTTAACAGCCTAATTAAAATGATATATAACATCCGCCCTAAAATATTATAATTTCATGACAAGGAATGAAACAAGCATTACAATAGTTAAAGCGAAGAAAAAAGTAATTGGAAAAAATCAAAGGCGAACAGTGAGCAGCCTACACAAAAGGAAAAAAAAATCTCTATTAATAGTGCCGAAGTGTGAGTCAAGTGACGTCAGCAGAAGATACAACTCAATGTGTAGGGTTTTTTTTGTTTTTCAGGACTCAAAATCTACCATATGGAGAGTGAATTCTTGTAAGAAAAATGCTTTTAGTCATAGTTTCGTTAAGCTTGAATGTTTGTTATGTTTATTCTATAGGCTGTTGTCAAGGAGGAGTGATATACATCGTCCTATAGCTTGTTAAGCAGTGAGAGAAATTACATAGAGGTGCTACATAGAGAGGTGCTACATAGAGAGGTGCTACATCAACTACTCAGCCCAACACATTGAGGACAAGATTTAAGACATCATAGTGTTCTAGAGGCAGTGCTGGTGCTACATCAACTCTACTCACCCCAACAAATTGAGGACCAGACCTAAAGTTCCACTCTAGCAGCCAAAGTCCAGCAGCCAAAGTCCAGCAGCCAAAGTCCAGCAGCCAGTGGTGAGTAGTTAATCCAACTTTACTCACTCTCAAGGTTTACAGATGGGGTACAAGAGACGCTGCATTTTTGATCATGTTATAATACATTTGTTATATTCGCTTCTTTGATTTTTACTATTCTAGATATTTTTACTACATTGTTGAAAAATTGGACCAAGCATAAAAAATTGTTGTAATATATATATATATATATATATATATATATATATATATATATAAATTGATCTTTTATTTGAATATATATATATATATATATATATATATATATATATATATATATATATATATATATATATATATATATATATATATAAATATTTAAATTGATTTTTATAATATTCTTGATTAATTTGAATCTAAATATTAGCTTACGTAATAGTTTAAATTGAACTCGTTTAATTTATGTTGTACAAATGAAAAAAAATACTTTAAATTTTCAGCTAAATATTAAAATATATTACTTGTTTTTTTTCTTTGAAACAGCATAAAGAGCGGAATGAATCGCAGATTTATCCCAATCAACGGTGGTAGAATCATTGCAGGTCATTATATGGAGGACACTTCTTTTGTACTGGACAACAAGAGCAAGATCAAAATGGAGAAAGCTTATTTCTGTGGGGAGATAATCAATGTGCCGCAAGCCCAGGCCCAGGCCGCTGACGTAGAGAGGGATGGGCCGGTGTTTAAAGAATACTGTGAGAGGTTCTTTGAGGCTCGGCCCCTGGACAACGACAGAGCCGGGACCTACATCACTCGGCTGAAGAGGCTGTTCCGCAGGTGGATGGAGACTTCAAGAGTCCAGCACAACTGCCACAGGATGATGGAGATAATTGTCAGGGACAAGTTCCTCAGCACCATCAACGACGACCTGCGGATGTTGGTCATGCTGCGGATGCCGGAGACCCTGGACGAGCTGGAGCAGCTGAGTGAGGAGTACCATGCCCAGATGCCTGGGGCCAAGCTGTGCAAGGCTGAGCCTGTGGAGGATGTTGATGATGAGGATAAGGAAAATATTAATCTCAAGCCGTAGACAAGCCTAGCTAGTTTTTCATAAATGTAAAGTTTTTTGTTTTTTTTCTTCTAAATGGCAGTAATCCGTAGACTAACCTAGCTCGTTTTTCATAAATGTAAAGTTTATTTTTTTTTCTTCTAAATGGCAGTTTCGAAATAAGATTTTGGATTTTTTAATGTTTACTGCAAATATTAATGAAAAAAAATTTTTAACGATTAATGAAATTAATTTTTTTCTAAAATAAACTTTTAATTATCACATTCTTAAAACACAGAAATGCAAAAATGAATTTCATGATAGTATTTTTAAATTGAACTCAGGGGAGGTAAAAGCTTTACAGTTTTAAACATATTAAATGATTTTTTTTATCTGCTTCTTAAAGTTTTAATCCCAATTGTTATTTTGAAAAGGTGTTTTTTTAAACTGATTTTTTTTTGTCACTTCTAAAATTAAAACTTCTGTGTTGAGCACATTGTAGAATAATTTAAGCACAACCTGTGTTTTAATGATTTTTGTTTTAAATGTATTTTTTATTATTAATTCTTTCATTAATAATGTATTTTATTATTAGAAATGTATTAACGAAAATCTCAGAAGTCTGCACATCAAATAAAAATGTTAATACAAAATAAGTTGCGATAACATACGAAGATTTTGAAAATTAAAAAATCCGGTGGTGGTTTATGTTTTATTATTTATTGAACATTCTTTAAAAAATTATTTTTCTTGTTTTCAAAGCAAAAAAGTATTAAAATATATTCATCGCGATCTCATTTAATTTTAATTTAATTTAATTGGATTAATATTCTTTGAAAAATGTGTTCATTATATTGTTAAAATATTTTTTTAAATAGCAGTAGAGAGATTCTGCTGGTATAAATATGAAGTTGTATATTAAATGTATAGCATTTTATCTTTGTATTTTGGATGCATACTGTTATCTCTAAAACTATATGTACAAATATTCAATTCACTCCTGCCTATCAGTTTAAATACTGGTAAAGTGCTTGAAAAAAAATGCCAGCGGATTTCTACTTCAAATATTACAGTTTAATTTTTTGGTGAAGGTTTTTTTTGGCTTTTGACTTTTGGTCTTTAATATCTAAAATGCTGCCCATTAAAATTGTCCATCTATGCTGCATATTTGCATGCTTCTGAAGTAGTTGTTAAACAATTACACAGTTGTATTTCAGGTCCACAAAAAAAAAAAAAAAAAAAAAAACTCTGCATTGCACACAAGCTTTGGTCCTTATAGGGAAATTTGCACATTGCTGTATTATAAATTATTCAAGTGTATCAAAATTTTAGAAATTTTCCTTTAGATTTAGCTCTATTGATTTTAGCATCATGTGTGGTTGCTGTAAATTATGCTTAATTTAAATTGCAGATGAAATGCATATTTTAATTTACATATATAAAGATTTACCTAGAAAAATAATTGAAAAATTTTCTTTAAAAATGCCCAAGCACTTGTGATTGCTGTTAAATATGCTTAAAGTAGAATGTAGTTGTTACGCAAATTTAAATTCATTGAAAATAAGCTTTAACTAGATAGAAGATGAAAAAATTTAAGTAAAAAAAACATCCAAGGAAATGTGATTGCTGTGTAATATGCTTGAATTAGAAGATAGTTTGCTGTGTAATTTGCTTGAATTAGATGATAGTTGTAGCCTACTGTTTATATAAAGTAATACATTTTTAACCATGGAGGGTTCTTGTGATCCTATGTTATATAAAATTGTTAATGTATTTATGTTATATAATATATACATTGGATGCAATTGTTAAATACTCATGTCAGTGGCCTTTGTGGTGAACTGTTAAAACCCACCTAAAAGATGTAAATATAGCGAGGGCATAAATTTGAGTATGCATCTAGGTTTTTTAACAACGACTATTGTAAAATTTAAAATTAACATGGTGATCAAACTAATTCTGATTTCGAAATAATTTTTCATGGAGATTTTTTAAAATACTTTTTGAACATTGAAAAGGAAATTGTTAGTGTGTACTAGAATAACAGTATAATGAATCTAAATATAAGCCTACAAAATAGTTAGAATTGAACTCTAGTATTTTTTCTTGCTCAAATGAAATACATTCTTTTGAATTTTTAGCTGAATGTTTTAATAGCTTAATGTTTTACATAACCTTACACTCATTGGGAAAAAAAAAATTCTGTACATTTTTGTTCTTTCTTTTATTCAGCTTTATATTTGTTGTTGTGGAAAAAACTATTTTTAAAAGCACATTTGTCTTTTAGAAATAAAAAAAAATATCAGCACAAACTGTTTTGTTTTATATAATAGTATAATAATTTTAAATTATTTATTATAATAATGGTGTAACTGAAAGTAGGCTATGTGATTGTTTACCTAAAACAGTTGAAATCTGTTGAGTTTCCTGAATCGACTCAGCTCTAATGAGTACCTGACATGGTAAAAGTAACATTTTCCAGATCTGGCATTTGATTTCTCAAGTTATGAGGTCAAATAAACAGAAGAACTCTGCTTCTGCTGCCAGAGAAATGTTGCAGGTCTAGCAGAGGTGCTATATAAAATAGCAGAGAAATAAAAAGTGAAATACAAAAAGAGAAATTTGTTCAAACAGAATATTGAGCAATCAGAATTTTTTCATACAGAAAAATGTGCATATAAAATGTTCAAAAATTTTGGAACAGTTGAATTCACAATTGCTAACTGAAGATTCTCAAGTTAGGTTTACAGTCATTAGCTGGAAGGATGCCTCCCAGCTCTGGTAGGTAATGGGTTAGGTCGAGGTTGTGTATAGTGAAAATTGAAAAATTCCACTATTTGTAGAGATCAGGTGAACATTGCAGTATGTTTCTAAATAAAAACAACACAATTCAAAGGTTGAAAAACAAACAACTTATCTTGAAGTTTCAATTTCGTCAAATGATTATTTTTAGACAGTCACTACATTGATACTCTCATTCTATTGAAAATAAAACAACTCTTGTTTTAAAATTTTCCTGAAAACAAAACAAAAATTATTAGCATACATAAAATATAAAAATTAATATGGCCTACAAAAAAAATAGTTTGTTAAAACAGAAATTATTTATTGATTAAATACTATAAATTCTAATATTATATTGGAAGAAACGTTAATGCAGTAAGCCCTACTACTTGAGACTGTTAACACAACAATCTAAAGTTTAAATCCTATGCCAAGTCTATGAATCTAATGACAAAATGTTACAGAATGTTCGCAGTCCTTTTAAGAGGCATGAAAAATTAGGCATAAAAAAAATAATTATTATAAAAAAATATGTATATATATTTATACATATATTTGCTCAAGAAATATAAAATTGTTAGCTGTTTAAGTAACAGTGTCATCTTGGTTGCTATGGCAACCTGCTAATTTAAATTATTTAGAAAATAAAATTTATTCCATATTTTAATAACATCTCAGCATCTTTACATAGGCATACAGCAACAAAGGCAATGCTTTATTGTAATTTATAAAGATGCTTTCACCTACAATCATCAGGTGCCATAGGCTGCTTGTTGATATCACTTAACTTTCAATGGAAGGCAGCAGAATCAGCTTGTGAGTTTTAAAAGCTGATTCTGAAGCCTTCGATTAGAAACTTAGAAATTCCACACATAAATTAATTAATTGAATTGTTTTTTTTAAAAAAGATTTTGCACTGAACCTAAGAGTAAAAATCATATGAATAATACAAAAATTCACAAAAAAAATAAAAATAAATAGTTTTTCATTGTACAAACAGAAAGTAAAATTAAATTAAATAAAAAGACATATAATACAGTGAAGTCATTTATTATTTTACATTTATCTCAAGTTAGCTTGCACTGTAGGTTGCTAAATCTTAAGTTTCAATAAAGGCCAGCATATTTAGCTTGTGAGTTTTAACAGCTGAATAAGATGACATTTTTAGTGTCCAATTGAGTTTAAATGAAAATTCTACTTTTTCAATTATTTCCAACTAAACGAAGAGTAAGTTCTGGTAAACATTTTTGCATAGTTTACTTTGCTAATTTTCACATGTTAGCTAAAATTTATTTTGAAGACATTATTGATTGTGTTTTAAAACTGTACAAATTAGGCTACTTGAAATCAAATGTTATTTGTACATTTTTTTTTCTTAATAATAGGGAACAGACTAAAGGCCAATATATGAAAAAGTTTTGTTTTATTCATAATAAATACTAAATATTAAAAGCCTGTGACACTAAGTGCATAAAAATTAAATATGAATTTCAATGTGTTGGTGAAATAGACTGTGGGCAAAAACCAAAAAGCACAAGATATACAACATCATAGTTTTAATTAATGAGTATACTAATCAAGTTTTTATATGTCATTGATAGGCTGCTGGTAGAGGGTGTGTGAAGTATGTAAAATATGTATAGATTATGGTAGTTGTTCCATGATGTGTGATGTAAGAGTGGATTAATGCTGTTGGTACATGATGTGTAATGAAAGGATGGATTAAGGTAGTTGTTCCATGATGTGTAATGAAAGGATGGATTAATGCTGCTTATACATGTTAATGTAAGGATGGATTAATGGTTTTTATATATGAATGATTTGTGATGAAAGGATGGATAAATGCTGTTGGTACATGCATAATTTGTAATGAAATGATGGATTAATGCTGTTGGTACATGTATGATTTGTAATGAATGGTTAGATAAATGCTGTTGGTACATGCATGATTTATAATGAAAGGATGGATTAATGCTGTTTGTACATGCTTGATTTGTAATGAAAGGATGGATAAATGCTGATGGTACATGCATGATTTGTTATGAAAGGATGAACTAATGCTGTTGGTACATGCTTGATTTGTAATGAAAGGATGGATAAATGCTGTTGGTACATGTATGATTTGTTATGAAAGGATAGATCAAGGCTGCATATACTGTTTAATGTAACGATGGATTAATGATGTTGGTACATGCATGATTTGTAATGAAAGGATGGATCATGTGTAAAGTAAGGATGGATTAAGGCTGCTAATATAAGATGTTTAAGGATGGATTAAGGTTGTTAGTAGATAATGTGTAAAGTAATGATAAA